TTGTGAATTTTTTTCTCCCCCATAGGAAAGCATGGAGCTGTCAAATTTTGACAGCTGTCAAAAGTTGGTGGGGGGAAAAATTCAGCAAAAATTAACAAAAAGTCAGATCAAAGCCAAATTAAGTTTGCACCTGTTTTAGAAGGTGCACTAATGATTCCAAGCATTTAAACCAGTTTTTGAACCTTTTAAGACACACTTAAATTTGCAAAAATGGACATCGCAAAACCATTGAAATGGTTTCAAACCATCGAAGCCTATTCAATGCATTCCAATGGAGGAAACATTGTATCGCTTAACGATGTTTCCTATGGGTTTTTTCACTTAAGGACAGCAATCCGTGCCTATTGGAACAGATTAACTAGTTTTCAGTGCATCTCTATGGGAAAACGTGTTTCGCTTAACGATGTTTTCCCATAGCAATGTTTTTTTGGAACCAATTAACATCGTTAAGCGAGGCACCACTGTATATGTACTTCACCTATACACACGCAGACACACATGCATAATTGAAGTTTTGGATTGCATCTGTTGAAGTGGACTACAGTCCTCAAAAGATCATGCTGTCAAATGTGTTAGTGCTTAAGCTGCCACAGGAATTTCTGGCTTTGGTTCGAGAGACAGATTTTTCTGTTTCTTTCATGTGTAATCAACAGGGGAAGCTGAATCTGTCTTTAGGGGGAAAGCTGAAATAAAGGACAGAGCCATCATAGTGGAGATAATCAAATTTAAGCATTAATTTAGCATGAATTGTGAATAAAAACAAACCTACCTTTAAGTACAATATGAACAATTCTAATGGATAAGCTTTTCACAAAAACAGAGATGTTACAAAGTGCCCTCCTCTTTCTAAAATGTCTGTATTACCTTTTCTTTCAGGGTTTTAGACCTCTGTAGAAATGTAAAGGAACGAATAGGAAGAGAATGCAAAGAGAAAGGTGTCCAGTTTCCTCCTTTTGCAACTTGTCGGTAAGGCATTGTCGCTTGATCTAAGTTCTCCAGATACCGAAATTGAACTGTGTTTAATACATCCATGCAGATAATTGTGTCTCCTCAACTGTAATCAAGTTGAATTTAGAAAGCAGCAATTTTAGCTTTCTTTTGATGGAAGACAGTTGGCCACAGAGCTTGATCCCTCAGTAAGGCCTCTTGACAATCGGTGTGATAGCTGTTCTGAAATCACTCTTTTACTGTGTGCTGAAATGTGAAAGAGCAAAGTTGCCCACCTTTGGTCCAAAGGGGTGGATGGGAAATGGCAAAAGACACAGAAACCACATTTAATCACTTTTCATCATCTCCTGGATCCTCATGGGCTGTGCCAACTGATTTTTCAAAACCAAAAGGTCACATGGTTTTGAAAAACAGCTATCCTGCTGTACAACCAGAGGTTTAGAAGTTAGAAGCTTTCACTTCTGTTTTTGGTAAAGTGCAGTTTGTCATGTTTTATCTGTCCTAAGTGATTTTTCTGTCTGAACCTGGCTTGTTCAACCCAACCCAAGACATTGTGCAACCACAGTTACAGACTGAACAGTTGTGTTCTGCTAAATGTAGAAGCAAAAGGTACCAGAACACTCTTTGCCATGTGGAGGCTGGGAGCATGTAAGGCTCATTCTCTAGGTTATTGATGTCATGGGTTGGCTTGACATGTAAATGACATCAGTGCATTGTGGCACTGATGAAAAAGAAACTGTACGAGTTCTCCTTGTTATGTACATTGGAACTAAAATCAGAATGTGTGCATTTGCTGTTACTTTAAAATGTTTTCCTGGCAAGCTGTGGAGAATCCTTGACACTCTACATGTTATTGGACACCAATATCCCAAAACCAACATAACCAGTGTTGAGGAATGTTGGGAATTGTGGTTCCATAACATCTGGACAGCTACGAGTTCGCCCTCGTGCAGTTCTGCTGATGTTTGCTGATATCATTTGCTTTTCTTACCCGGAAGACCCCTTGAATATTTTCCATTTAGCCATGCTTCATGAATGTATGTTTGGACTTTAAACATACAGTATGTATGGATCAAGTGTTGCATAGTAAGTTATATAATTGTACATTGCATTTTTTTCATATGCTCAGAGGAAATTTTGCATAAGTTAACTTTTATTCAGAATATTGTGACACTTGATCTTCAACTTTTTTTTTAATACAGGGTAACACAAACATATGATGCAGGGGCATGCGTCTATTTTTACCTGGGCTTCAATTACAGAGGAATAAGTGACCCTGTTCGTGTTTATGAATATATAGAGGTAATTTTATGTCTATGAGTACAGGATATCTAATACTTAATTACAGAGCTCAGCAATATTTTGACAGCAGCCTGTCTTGCACAAGTGCTGTTCCAGCAATAATATTTTGAGTCACATTTTGAGCCGGTGATGTAACTGTTTGCTTTAGTGAATTGGTTGTTTGCAAGTGTGGAGTGTGTTTTGGGTAAACAGACTTCTGCTCACATAGTGAGACTGTCCCTAATGTGCACTGTGCAATATGGAGGAGAGGCACTTTGCCTATTTCCCATTCTATTAGCAGAAACCATACCTAAGGGAAGAGAGTTAGTACAACAGTTTCTAGTGCAATTCTTTTGCCTTCAGAATGCTTGCTTTCATATTTAAATGGTAGTTTAACCAAATATTTTGTCCTTCTCTTACCCTCATTCTTTTCTTCCAAACTTGTCATGCAAATTGACTGTGTGAATTCATTCAGTGTGTGCATATGACTGAGAAGGGTGATCCACAGGTTGAAGGTTTTGCAGAAGAGTATGTGAAACATCAGTTTTTAAAGTGCTGACAGGCAACAAAGTTCTGCTTGGTGTACAGGGCCCTGAGCCACTGTCTGTCAATAACTGGTTTCATTTAAATATCCTTTGGCTTCCTGTGGTAGATAAAACACATCATATGCAGATGTTTCAGGCTGAGATATCGGCAGGTACAATTTCACCACTTTGGAAAAGGGTCAAATCTCTTTCATTTGCATCCAGGAGAAAATGTTTGATGCAGATGTAGCCACTTTAAAAAGTGGATGGAATGCCACTATTTTAGAAATTGCAGGCAGTCTTACATTATAAAATGTATAAATAATTTTGGTTTGCATAACTTGTGTGTTGTTGTTAAAGTGAATGGAAGGTGGGTAGGGTCCCGCCTGTTTCACTCAGATTGAGTTTAGTGAATAATTTGACTGTTTCTCTTCTTTAGATGGCAGCTAGAGAAGAAATCCTTGCTAATGGAGGAAGCTTGTCACATCATCACGGAGGTATTGTTTCAAGTCCCACTTCTGTTTACATGGGAGTATTACATCTTGTTATTTTTCACATGTAATGCTATTGCTTCAAACTTAATATTGCTGCAGTAATAGCAATACTAACAACCTCTCATATGTCAGCGTTTTCTGGGCTTCTTATAATATTGAGAAGTGGTTCCATTTTTTCAGGAAAAAAAATAACTTGCCGCCTAGATTCTAGAACCTGCCATCACTGCAGCATTGGGCAGAATTCTGTTGGGGATTTATGTAAGTGTAATGGCATAGATCACAGCACAGAATTGCTGCTAATCAATGAGTTGCTGCTCACAATCCTGGTTGTGTGCTAGTCATGTGACTTGGTGCCTAATCAGGAATGTGAGGAACAACTTTTTAATTAGCAGCAACTTGTTACTGTGGTTAATGCAGTTATACTTATTCTGGTATAAATCTCCAACAGGGTTCTGGCTGTCGTTTCTAAAGCTAAAATGTTCCTCTTCCCCAGAACATCAAATTTATGGTGCATCAATTATATAGGATAAGCCCCAATTCAAAGTTGTTGGTGCATTTAAGGATACGTCTTGGAAGACTCTTCTCCAATAATCCCAAACCTCCATGTTCTTGTTCTTATTTGCCCCATCTTCTATTTCCTAGTCTTGTTAGGTGTGAGAGTATGATGTGAAAAAATTTTTTTTGAAGTATGTTTTTTGTTTTCAAAATGAGGCCTTCTAGATTGTTAGACTGATATGCCCATCACTCTAATCATCACTAGTCATGGCTGCTGGGCTTGGTAAGGGCATACCTAGAGGGCTCTGTTGGCAGGTTTGATATGAAAGATATTAAAAAAGAGAATGGAGCAGCTGAATGAATATCATGAGAAAATAGGAACCCTGTGAAGGCATGGTAAAAGACTGTCAACTTAAATACACACACACATACAAAGAGAGAGAGATAGAAGCTTGCGAAACTTTGAAATGCTGAGGAAAAAGAGACCTCTGTTGCAAAATACAATCCAAGAGGCTGCTATTGAAAGCCCTTCCATGTCAGATGATGCTTCAGGAGTATGACAGCTGACTTTCTTGGTACAATTGGGAAATAATAGTTAAAACGCTATCTGTAGCCTCCCACCTTTTCTGTGCTCCATCACAATGACTATAATTTACTACAACCCACATTTTTTGTCTTCTCCATCTCTTTGAGTGGATTAAGTGCATCTATATCTATTTCTGTTAAGCATGTTGGTATTGTTGGCTAGATGTGCAAGGCAGACCTGCAGCAGCACTCTCTGAAGTAAAGTGAGACCAGCGGGCAAAAGCCCAACCAGACAATAAGCACTGCCTTCCTCCAGAACTGGCAAGGGATGGCAATTGCTACTGACCCTGTGAATGAGCATTCTCCAAAATGCTCTGTCCTCAACTGCCCTGCTCAGCTCTTGTAAACTCAAGCCTGTAGCTTCTTTTAGGGAGTCTGTCCATCTCGTATTTGGTCTTCCTCTTTTCCTGCTGCCTTCCACCTTTCCCAAGATTATGTTTCCAAAGTAGGACATCCTCAGTTTCAACATTTTTGCTATTTGATATAGGACCTACTTGTTTGTCTTTCTGGCAGTGCAGGGTATTTATTTATTTATTTATTTATTTTATTGTATTTATACCCCGCCTATCTAGTCATTTCAACCACTCTAGGCAAAACTCTCCTCCAACAACACATTTCAAATAAATCAGTTTGTTTCCTGTCAGCTTTCTCAACTGTTCAGCTTTCATACCCATACATGGTGATTGTGAATACAAGAGTGTGGATGATCTTGGTCTTCGTCTCCAGTGAAACATCTTTACACTTGATTATCTTTTCTAATTCCTTCATTGCTGCACTTCTGAGTTTCAGTCTTTTTTCTGATTTCTTGGCTGCAGTTTTTCCCTTTTAATTGATTATTGAACCAAGGTATGAAAAATCTAACTCTTTGCATTTCTTCATTGTCAGTGTTAAAGTTGTGTAGTTCTTCTCTATTCATGAGTTTTTTTCTATAGTTGAACATTCAACTGCAGTCGTGCTTTGGCACTTTCTTCTTTCCTTTTCACTAAACTACGTTTCAAGTCATTGTTTTCTGCAAGTAAGATGGTGTCATCTGCTTATCGTAAACTTTTCATATTTCTTCCAACTTCCACTCCTCCTTCATCTGAGTCTAGATGGTTTTCCTTATAATATTTTCTGTATACAAATTGAACAGATAAGGGGAGAAAATGCACCTTCGTCTGATACCTTTATCTATAGGAAGCCATTCTGTCTTCATATGCTGATTGCTGTGGATTGGTTCATTTGGAGGGCACCAAACTGGGAAAGACTATGTTAGGCTAGATGTAGGAATTTTTATTTAAATAAGCTTTTCGCAACTGGATATACATTTATAAATATTTCTAGTTTATTAATGTATTATCCTGTTCTTGTTCCTTTTCTTTATCTTAGGGATAGAGCTGAGCAGAAATATAAGAAATGAATATGGAATTATTGTTACAAGTGATGGCTATGTGAACTTTCCCACAAACAACGTTGCAAGGCATTTTGCTTTTCCCTATTTTCTATGAGATAGGAGTGGGTTTGACAGGAAAGCTGATACTATAACTTGCAAAGCAAGCTTTGCCAGTGGCTTTTTTGCCTCAGCCCTAACATTGTGTTAAATTCCTGCTGTGAATTTTAATGTTCTTCCTGAGCTAGAATTTACTGTTTGAAATTAAGCTAGCAGTATCTCTTTTTATTATTATTTACTGACCTTCAGGCCTTGTCATGACATTCTCAACACTGCTTTTTTACTTCCTGTGTGGGGAAGGGAGAATATTGATGCTATTCCTCTTCAGCGTTTGCCCTATAATTGTGATTAATAACGGTTGCTTTCTCTATCTGGAAACAGACAGCCTGGTTTGTCTGTATACAATCATGTTGTGATAAATGGAGCTATTTTAACTGTGGTTTTGTGTATCAAGCAAAACAGATGTAGTCTGGGACTTCAGGCTGTAAGGAATATAAAACCTGTTTAACTCATAGTGCTTATTGTTTCTAAGGAAATAGCTGGACAGTATAGCAGCAGAGATTACTCTAGAAACCTAAATAGCTGCAATTTGTGTGCGCAGGGAGTGTTTATTGTAAATGGCTTCCTTTCTGAGGAGCAGACAGCTGCTATGAAAACAAATCTTGAGAAATTGCAGGCAGCTCCGTCTAAATGAATAATATTAGTTTGTAGTTCTTTTTATTATCACTTCTGTCAGTCTAAAGTACAGGTAACTTTTTAAACCTAAAGTTGTTTCTGAATTAGTGATTTCTGAAAGATCCTGTCATTAACAGCTTTTTCAAGTCTTGCGAATTAACAGCTGTGGCTTCCTTTACATCAATCCATTTCATGTTCAGTCTTCCCCTTTTCCTACTACCTTCAACATTTTCTAACGTTGCCTTTTTTGCTATGCCAAAATATCATAGCCTCAGTTCAGTCATTTCAGCTGCTACTGAGAGTTCAGGCATAATTTTGTCTGCCTGGCTATTGGTTGTATCTGTAAAGCTCTCCTCCCAATAAGCATTTCAGTTTAGTCTATTTTTCCCCATCAGCTTCCTTCACTTTCATGTCCATATATCATAATCTAGAATGTCATAGTATAGATTATCTCAGCTTTGGTTTTCAGCAATACATTCTTAACACTCCCTCGCCTGCTATCTCAGAGGCTATTAAGGACCAAGCTCTCATTTTCATGGTAAGAAATTCAGCAGTAGTTTACCATTGTCTTCTTCTGCACCATACTAACAAATGTTAGCTGGCATTATCTATGAAAGTTCCTTCACCAGTGCCAGTTTTCACTACTGTTGTTGCCCTCCAGGAGTTTCTCCACACCATTACCATTGCAACTACCATTCTCTTCTGCTGAAGAGTGCCCCTTCCTCCTGAAGAGGGAAGATGAATCTTAGTCTGGTGTCTCAACTTTGATTTTTCTGCATTGAATGACCCGGCTAGGAGTCCAGACTCATAATAGAGTCTAGCGTTCTGCGATAACATTGCTCTCATCTTCTTTAACACACTCGGATCCGCTCACTACATTAAGGCATGCATCCAACAGCTATTATTCCCCAGCTCCTGGGGAAGAGCAAAGGACAAGTACAAATAGCACTGTTGCTAATGATGCAACTAGACTAAACCCAAAAGGACGTCTAATGTGTTACATGCATAGAGTTGAAGGTCCGATGCTGCATAACACAAACGTGGATTGTAAGAAGTATGAATCAAGGTAAACTGAAAATTACAATACAGGAAATGGGCTGTTTAAACATTATGGTAATGGGTGTGAAGTAAAGTGTACTGGATTGGGACATTTCAGTCAGATGACTATGTAGCATTTAACTCAGGAAATTACATACTCAGAAGAGGCTTAGTGACTCTAATCCTGAGGCAAGATGTAGCACAGACAGTTATGGCCTATACTATAAGATCTGAACAAATAATATCAATTAGACTAGCAGCATAACCATCATTCAAGTCTATGCTCCAACTACAGCTGCTGAAGAAGAAATTGAACGCTTTTTACATTAGCATCCAGGAGGAGATTGATCACACACCAAAACAAAACATTCTTATGATCAGAGGTGACTCAAATGCAAAAACAGAATAAAGAAGAACCAAATGTTGTTGGAAAGTTTGGCCTAGGGGACATAAATGAAGCACGACAACGATTGATTGAGTTCTACCAAGCTGTTTATTGCAAATACATGCTTCAAGCAACCGAACAGACAACAAACACATGGACATCACCTGATGGCCAATATAGAAATCAAATAGACTGCATAATTGTAAGTAGGAGATGAAGAAGCTGTATTTGCTCTGCCAGAACAAGATTAGGAGCAGATTGGGCTACCACAAATTGTTACCGTATTTTTCCGTTTATAACACGTCCCCATTTATAAGAGCCCCCCCCCCAATTTTCTAACCCCAAAATTAAGAAAACTTAGCTTGAGGATTCAGCCTCCAAGCTCAGAATGTTGGACATTTTTGTCTCTGTTGAATCTTGAGGCTCCACCTCCAAGGAGGTGTATTCCAGTTGGTTTGTTCAGGATTAGCTGATGTCAGTTCCATGGGGCTTGTTATTGCAGGTAACAGTCTCTTGACTGTAGGAAACTAAGCCTCCTGGCTGAAGCAAGACTGTTCAGAGAGGCAAGGTACGTGCTGTTTTGTTCTCTCTTCAGCTATCTCAGCTTACTTCTGTGTAAAAGACGGACCTCAGTTTTGATTTTAGGAAAAAGTAGCGTCTTATAGACAAAAAAAATACGGTAATATGAAAAAATTAGAGTAAAGTTGAAAAAGAACATAAAGAATCATGGTGCAAAGTATAATTGAAATAACATTTATGATGAGTTTAAAGTCCATGTAAAGAAAAGACTTGCATTACTAAACTCAATTGATTGTGAACCATAGGAAATGTAGTTCAAACCCAAAGATGCCATTAGGGGATGCAAAAAGACTACTGTAGTGAAAAGAAAGGAAAAGCCTAGATGGATGATTAAAGAAATACATAAAATTGTTAAGGACAGGAGAAAAGCAAAAGTAAAGGGTGACAAAAGTAGGGTCAGAATCCTACATGCAACTTTTCAGTGACTATCAAGCAGAGACAAAAAAAATATAATGATTAGTACAAAGTGTAGATGAGAACAACACAAAAGAAAACCAATATATCTCTTAGAAAGACCGAAATAATCAAAGGGGAATTAAAATGAAATTATTAAGGATACTGAAAGATCAACAGGGGACATACTTTCTTAGCAAAGTAAAATGAAAACTAAATGGAAACAGTATATTGAAGAAATATACAGAAAAGATTAAATGATGACAGATTCCTTTGAAGAGGAATCCTATGATGAAGAACCTACTGTTTTAGAAAGTGAAGTGAAAACATTTGGGAGAAGTAAATCGCCAAAGGGAAATGGAATACCAATCAAATTATTCCCAGCTAAAGAGAGTGATTATGCCAAAGTCCTAACAGGAATATGCCAGCAAATATGGAAAACAAAACAGTGGTTCATGGACTGGAAACATTCAATATACATTCCAGTGCCCGAGAAGATAAATGCCAAAGAGTGCAGTAGCTATTTGACCATTTCATTAACATTCAATGTGATGCTCAAGGTATGTTACAAAGACAATTATCATATATGAGTAAGAAATGTCCAGTGTTTAAACTAGATTGAGAAGAGGAAAAAGAACTTGAGATCATATTGCAAATACATTGGCTAAAGGAGTCTACCAAAGGATTTCAGAAGAAATGTACTATCATTAACAGCCTTGCTTAGCTCCAAGGCTGTTAATGATAGTACATTTCGGCGGTCAGCCATGGATAGAAAGTCAGAGGAGACTAGAAGGCAAATGATGGCAAAGGCTGGGACCCCACTGAGCACAGACTCCGAGTTGGAGACCAAGGCTTCAAAGTTTTCTGCATAGGCCCTCCTCAGTCTTACCTCAGATCAGATCCATTTTTAAAGAAAACTTTTATCTATACATTTCAGCAAGCACAACATAATATATGGTCTGGATCAACCTCAACTCTTAACATTTTTCTTTTATTATGAAACAGAAAGTTTTTTTCTGTAGATCATTTGCAGGCAAAGGTTGCTGGATGTGCAAAGGAAGGGTGTGGGTGTTGATTTTCTTTCATTCTCAACTCCCCCCCCCCCATATTTATCATCATTTCCTGCCAGAAGAGAAAGTTGGGATAAAATAAATAACACATGAAGACTGTGTTTACTTGAAAGGGACTCCTTATTACCATGCCAGATAATTTGACCATTCCATTAACTTTGCTTAGGAACAGCTGGATTTTCAGCTGAGTTTCAAAGGGCTTACTCATGAGTAACTGCAGATCAAGCTACAGTCCTATGACCCCTTTCCCCACAACCAGTGCTTAGTACCACTTAAGATCTCCTTACCATCCTCCCTTCTCAGATGCCTTCACTGCATTCAATCAGGAACCACCACCACCACCCACCCACCCCGAGATCATTTAGTGTCCTAGCTTGAGCTAAAAGACTTTGCTTAGACGGACCCTTCCTTGTGTGCCTGCTTGAAAATATGGAACCATTGATTCTAAGATGTTAAAATGCCATTGATAATCACACAGTCACATACAGACGTATCTGATTCTAAATGTGATCGCCGGGGCTGGGGATGAGAAGAAAGAAAGGGGGGATTTAATTTTTTTTTTTAAATGAAGGGATTTTTAAAGTGAAAAGCCAGTCTTCTCTGGGCAAAGCAAAAACAGTTCTGCTTGAATATCTGCCTGTTCAGGGTGGGCAGAGAGGAAGCTTTGGAGATTGTTAAGCAGTATCTTATCTTACCCAGGTCTCTGCTTATCTTCTCCTTCAATTGAGGAGGGATTGTATAGAAAGTAAGGCCAAGTGCAAAGGCTTGTGAATCAGAAAGATAAAAACCCAATGTCAGCAGACTTGGAACAGAGCAACCTCAAGCTGATCTTATTGTGCCAATTTTGGTGTTGATCCGAAATATATATATATTTGGGTTGACCCCATTTTTAGATTATATTATGTCTTATGCTATGCTGAACAATCATTTCATATTGCACATATTAATGGTGGATGTTCCCAGAATGACCAGTCATGGATTGATGTAGTCAAATGATGGCTCTTTTGATGCTAGGTGAACAATTTGTTTATTTGTTTTGCAAGGAAAATAACATTGTGTTGCCCCTTTTTATATGAACTCTCAATTAGACAGGGGTGCAGTAACGGCAGAGTCCATAGAGCCAAATGTGCACATTGTCTGTCACAGAGAGACTTGCAACTTCACGCTACAAAATGGGTTAACTTTTTGTTTTGGTCAAATATGTTCATAAAGGACTGTGACTGTCCGCTGTACAGCTTTTTATCTTTCTGGTTCGCTAATCAAATGTATGTTAGATTTATTATTGTAAAAGTATAAAGCATAGAAAATGTGACAAGATAGATGTGTAAATTATCACTCTGACAGAACTAATGATGCACTCCAAGCACCTTCTGTTTCCGAGCACTTGGTGAGCGACTTCATTAAATATGCAATGGCTGTTTGGTGGCTGCTCAGACATCAGTTCTGTCCCTTGTGGAATGGCATTATTACTGGAGGTGGGGAAGAGACAGGCACGCTAGCTGTCGGACATCCTGCTGTGGCTTTAATGTGCTCCATCTTGTTGGGCCAGTTGTTTTCAGTCTTTTTTAGACGATTACATCGATAACCACAGGATACGTTCGCTGAAACAAAATTACGGGTAATGGTGGATAATAGCGTAGACTATTCATTGTCTCTTTAACTCTGTCTGGAGTAGAGAACTCTGTGCTTTTCCCTGGAGCGTCTATGTTGATCCCACCAGAGAGATATGAGAATGGGAATATGCTTACAGAAAATGCTCCCCCTCCCCCAAAATAAGCATCCATTTTTGTATTCTTGATAGAACAACAAAGCATCATTCACAAACATAACAAAACAGGCTGACTGTATATTTGCTACCATTACATTTGGTACTGAGATAACCCTTGGCTTCCCTGAAATTCCACCTTTCTCACTCGGTCCTGTTTTCTATTCAGTTTCTCTCCGACGTGGCTGTATTCCTCAGAGGAAGGAAACAAAAATACTCTGCTCACTGCTGGGGTCCCTATCATTCATTATTCCAGCAATTTGTTCCATTAATCATTAGCTGCCCTGAGAAAGCCATGGAAGAGGGAGGATGACTGGAAATACTTTCAAGAGGCACATCACCTCAAACAAATAAGTTGGTATATCTGTGGTTTAAAGTCCAGGTACAGAAGGGTACCTGCCTTGACTTATTTATCCAAGAATTTAATTCTTGGGTAATTAAGTTATGAAAAGACAAAACTGATCATTTGTTGTTACTGTTTTTAATCTGTACTAGAAAGCCAAGTTTTCATTCATATTTTTAATTAAATAGGATTCAGGCAGTTGTGCATCTGCCAGGGTGAACTTGGATGTAAATGTAGTTAACAGAATCATCTTAGAGTTGTCTTCGAAAAACACCAGTTGAATTCAGTTGGCCTTACTTGCAGGTGGAGGTACGGTGTTTCACCTGAACCTTTACAACTGACTTTTGATAAATGCTCATTCGCTTGAGGTCTTTCACTTGTAACTTTGCACAGTTGTATCCAGTCTGTGTATTCCGTTTCTAAAACCTCAGCATTACAAGCCACTTTATAGAATACCCTACTTAAATTCTTGTAGTGTTAATTTTTCTCTTGCAGCATTCTGATGTACAGTGTTTAGATGGACTGGAATACATGCATCATTTCTCATACGACACATTATCTTGGTCTAAACTTTATCTAAATTTCATACTTTGCAAAGAGAGTAGGCAGTGTGGAACACAGGCTTCCTCTGGGAGTACATTGAGCTTAATGAGCTTGATAGTCTGGTGGGCTCAATAAATCAAATAAAGCAAAACATTTCTCATTTTTGAATAAAAGCATTTATCACCCAGTGTTTGTTCATTCATGGTCACAAGATTGATTGGCTCTTATTATTATAGTGAATATTAAAGACCTTTTTTTCCCTTTTTTTTTCTTCCAGTGGGCAAATTGCGGAAACAGTGGCTGAAAGAGTGTGTCTCTGATGTTGGCTTTGGGATGCTGAAGTCAGTTAAGCAGTTTGTGGATCCCAACAACATCTTTGGAAACAGGAACCTTTTATAACACTCCTTACTCTCCAAATGGAAGCTAAATAATAGTACTAATAATGGTTTGAGTCGTCTCATGGCTATCCCAGTATCCAAATATAGCATGGACCCAGGTTCAAAGCCATTTTCTTTCTTATACCTATTATTTCTTGAATTAAACACCATCGGTTATTCATACTAGACTACTTTGGATTGTTGCTAAACCTTTCACATACCACCAGTCCAAAATATTAAGGTCAGTGCAGTTGATAACCTATTTGGATTGCTTTCTGCTGCAGTACAAGAATGTCCAAGAGTGATTTCTTTGTCATAAGAGCCCCGTTGATACACTTCTGGAAAGCAGATGAAAAATAGGATAAAATTTAGATAAGGTAGCATTTTTAACTGAAGGTTAAGTAAATGAAGGAATGCCATGCTGCAGTGAAATACAAAAACCATAAATTTTTGTCGTCAAAATGGTCATGTGTCCCATCGGTTGTTATTGGGAAATACAATAAAACAATGTTTTAAACTGCATTTGCTGTAGTACCTAATATTCCAAACAGATCTTATTGCACAGAAAAGCAAATGTTTCTTTTTGGATGCTGGAAAATCTTTGTTATGTAAACTGTAAGCCCTTTAGAATTTTGTCTTGCAAAATGTTCTGCATTTATTTCAGAGGGCAACCTTTCTCAAACAGAAAAAATGGTCCTGTTAATTACAGTTCTCTAGAAGTGTAATTAGAAGTTTCAGCCATTTCAAATCTGAAATAACTTTTATGTTGTCTTTTTTATTTTTATAAAACAACTGTAATTACCTTTTCACTAAAATAAAATGTCAAACTTCTTTAAAAAAATCAGTGAGCATTAGAATGAAATATATCCTCAGAAATAGTCGTTTAATACTCTTTATCAAATCAGGGATGCCCGTTATTAAAATGAATTGGCTTTTTATGAAACCTAGACTCTTTAGAATGTTAGTTTAGTGATGTTTCTCTCTGAGGTAGACTGTGCCCATGGGTAATTCACGATTCAGGAGTTCGAATGAAGCTGCACTTGCCAATTTCCCATTCCTCCTGTAGACACAAGTGCCACCTTTCTTTACTGTCCCAGAGGCTCCCCCACCCACTGGAGCAAATTTTTGTGAAGTATAGGAGAAGGGGAAGCAGTGAATACCTCTTCATTCCCCATACAGTACTACCGGCAGGATTACTTTGCTACAGCAGGAGTTTTCTATGGGCAGAAAAAGCCATTGCATCTACATCTACAACAGGCAAAGTCTAGATCTAGTCCTTTGGTATATGGGTATGTATCAAAGGGTGGGTCCTTTTAAAAATTATGTTATTGAGTTTGACTTTTGGTAGAACTAAATTGCTTAACTTTTTGAAATACAACCATTGCTCAAAATTCTGCAGTGGGTATATTCTGTTTTTGAAATAATTCTAAACCAGTTAAAATTGTGATATTTGTCAACCTTTAAACATGTTCTACTGATATGATGACAATTAAACTCTTAAGTCATGCTTCTAAATTAGCATGCTTTGCTTGTTAGCAGCACAGAATGGTGTATCTCTTTATCCTAAAAGTTATCTTCATACCCTAAAAAGCACCTTCAGAATAGACAGATGTGCAATATCACATAACAGTGACTCATCCTTTGCTAGCCTTAAATCAAAAGCATGCCTGCAGTCCAGCTAGAACATTATGGGGCCATTTAGCAGATACTAAACTCTGTTAGCCTAGTAAACATTTCTGGTGGAACCTAACCAGTTTCTCTCTGTTGATGGGTTTCATCCATTTCAACTGTTTCATCTCCCCCCTTGTGCACACACATGAATTTTTCATAGCAGATATTTTAAAGTTTAGGGAGCTGCAGGAGGAAGGAGAAGAAATATATGAAGACTGCATTCTTTTTCTTTCCATTGGTAGAAGCCTTTCATTGCACAGGTGATTCTGCAATTTGCTGTAGGCTCAACATCTAAGATGTTTTTCTTTTCACTTTTTGATAATGTATAAGGTATGCTGCATACCAGCATCCATCAGATTTCCAGACTCAAAACATGGAGATGTTTAGCTTTGTGTTGATAGAAATAAATAGTATTTTCATGTGCCTAATTAGCACCAAATCTAGGGCAAATGTGTGTTTTCAGGGAATAAAATTGCCTTTTTGATAGATCAAAGTGAACATTTAACTTTCTGTTCCTGCTTGTTTTGACAAACTTTGTACTATCTTCCAAACATGTGAGCTCATTTATGGCGCTTAATTGACTTGGCTCTATTGTTACAATTTTCCTAACCCTTTGCTGTTGGAAATTGCACAGAGGATACCGTTGAAGGTATTTCTCATAAATTTGTAGATAACTAGGTGACAAGGTGTATTGAAACCATGAATTGCAGAACTTGTGTCATGTTAGTCCTGTCCTATCAAAGTAACATGGGGAAGGGGGTGTCACAAAAGTGGATAGGCTTACAAAAAGACACAATGATAATAACTGAACATATTGTAAATTGCTTTACTTATGTCTATTTTGTTAAACTTTTTCTTTTCCCTCCTTTTATAATGGTTCAGTTGTTCAGAGCATTAGCAAGAACACTTGTAAGACACGCGCAAGCTGAATGCTAGTTCAAAAAATTGTGATGCTCATTAAAAATATATCTCTATATATATAAATTTTACCAATTGGAAAGCAATTGACTGTGTTTTCGTGGCACAACAATAAGTTAAAAGTAAGTGGATGATGTGTAAGAATATGAAAGAATGCTCACAATTACCTGGTTCAGAATGCCACTTCCTAATACTTACAGAGTAGCCTTTCACGACAATACTCCACCTGCATTCACTTTTCAGCAGGCTTCCAAAGGACCATGTGCCAACATCCATGGATCTTCTGGTTCTCTTGGCCTGGAGCAACACCTTTTGTGAGAGGTTAAGGAGCTCCTCTGGTGTAGCATCCTACATGCTAGAAAATACTTACCTCAATAAAAATAGAGGCATGTGTGGAATTGTGTTTGTGTAGCTTTGTGGGTCCTGGCCCCAGCCCTGATCTGAACTCTGCCCAATAGGCATTCTGGCCAATAAATACAGACCATTTTTTAAATGCCAAATTTATGAAAATCAGGTAGCCCTCCCACCTGAGTCTAGAGTCACTAACTTCTCCAAGCAGGGAGACTCATCTCAGGGGAAGCGGCACTGGTGGTAGACAACATTTGTTTTTTGTGTGCACATTATTTTTTGCAATGTGCTCTAGCATAGAAAGTCACAACTAGAGCAGGTCAGTTTGAATCAGTGGACCCTATGGAAGAGGTGACTCACCAAATCCCCACTGATTCAGTGAGCCTCCTCTAGAACAGCTTCCTATAATAAGCAACAGGATTTCAGCTGCTGTGTAGTGCTTATCAAAGACTAAATGCTCTACTGTCATATCCCAGACATATGGACCTGGAGGTGCAACTAGTGATGTACTATTGTTTTAATTGATCACCATCACAGTAAGCTTTGAGATTTAGTTGGGCATGCATTTCCTGTCTGCTTTCCTCAATATCATCAGCTGTAGATCAGAGAGGTAAATCCTCAAGTCTTGGTGTCCCAAACCAGTCCCGCAGGGAGATGTACTGTTAAAAAACAATAACCCTCAAAACAAAAGCATCAAATTATACCAAAATAGGAACTTTTGAATATCGGCTTTGATAAATTCCCATTTGACCAAAATGAGAGATTTTCCCTGTGGGAACCAGACTAGATAAGATGTCAGCTTTGCAATTAGAAGGTGGTAATTCCTTTAGAAGACGACAAAATATTTTCTCTCTAGAGACTAATTTTCTTCAAAGCTGCCATACCTGGGCAATCACACTTGCAAATTAAATACACATTTATCTTATGACAAATCACAATATGAAGGCAAGCTGGTGCTCAATATGGTAGTTTGCAACATGCAGAGCTCAGAGACTTTTCCTGCTAGAATAAACTTACTTTGCTTCAAATTAGATCACAAGAAACAAACCCCAAATTCTTTAGCAAGTGGTGTGCATGTGGAAGAACAAACTCTTATTTTCAATTATGTAACATATGGTTCATGAGACAGGAGAGTGTGAGTGTAGGTTTCTGATTTTATTAAAAAATTTCAAATACCTGGAGTAGAGGGGTGGATATTTTAAATTGGGAAAACTAAAAATTCTGAATTCCTTCAATTATACCTAAAGGTGGGGAAGTTATAAAGTATCTGTTTATTTGCATTACACATTTTTTCAGAGATGACATTTAAACAATAGAGCCCAAAGCAATTGATTTTGAATATAAGATACATATGCAACCCCTATTATTTCTGCTACTTATTTCCATAGGACGTTATTTTCTAGCTTACTAAATGAGTGAGCAAATATCCTAGACTCAATGTTTTACAGTGGACCCTCTACTTAAGGAATTAATCCGTACTGGAATGGTGGCTGCAAGTCAAAAAGTCTGTAGGTCGAATCTCCATTGACCTACAATGCATTGAAAACCAATTAATCCCATAACCAGCGGTTTTTATTCTATTTTTGTTCCATTTTGGGTTTTTTCTGGTCTGTAAGTCGATTTTCCGGCTGCAAGTCGAAACTAAATTTTGCAGCCAGAGGAGTCTAACTCGAAAAGTCTGTAAGTCGAGCCGTCTGTAAGTCGAGGGTCCACTGTAACTTAATGTTTTGAACAGTGGGATTACAGCCATGCATTATCATTGTTTTTACAGAAGTATTAAAGCAAATAGAAGGTGATGATTGATGTTTTAGTGCATCTTTTCAATTAAATCTACATAATAGGAATTATTCAGGAGATGTGGCTGTCAACAGTTACTACTTTACCAAAAAGCTACAGAAGCCATGCCTTTAAGGAAGTGTTTAATATGTTGGCAAATTTGGTAAGAAATGCAAAGAATGGGCAGGAAGCATGCAGTTTGAACTCAGAAAATTTGGAGTCATGAAACCAATATTCTGCACCCTTGCACTTGGAATGATGTACCATGTTATGAATGTGAATATGTATACTTACGGATTTCGAGGAGACTTTTGCCAAAGCCTGACATGGCAAGCTGATGGAAATATTGGTAAACCTAGGTCATGATTCGTATAATTGGCAAATACTGTATACTGACAACAGAAAACTATAGTAAAAGATTAGATGACAGAGCACATGGAGATACGAAAAAAAGTACAACATGGATTTATGCTGCTGCCAATACTTTTCAATTTTATTCCCTGGGATCTTTAGAGGAGCATTTGACGATTAAAATGACAGTATCATTGTTAGTGGGAAAGTTCTCATCAACTTGTGATAGGCAAATGATACTATGTTCCTCGCCAGCAATTAGATGACCTACAAAAGTTACTCAAAAGCAATGAAGTAAAGAACGTTGTCTGAAAATAAATGTTTTTTTAAAAAATTCATCAAAATTGGTGAAAAGAAAGCAGTTCAAGAATTACAGCTGAAAATCCAGAATGAAGGTAGAAAGCAAGGTGACAAAAATATGAACAGTTGGGATCACAGCCATGTATTAAATGTCACTG